GGCTGGCACGGACCCGGTGGGGGCTCCCGGGCCCGTTCCCACTGGTGGTGAAGCGCCGCGGTGCCGCTGAGACCTCTGAGCTGAGGTGGTAAATGGCATCCCAGGGGCGAGTGGCGCTCCAGGGCTGTGACCCAGGCCCCGTCTTCGGCGAGATCGCTCCTGAGATTATCGAGGACTCGCTGATCCATTTGGCCACGGAAAACGAGCAGTACCTGAGTGACCTGTCAGATCAGGCCGGGTGCTTCAAAGAGGCCCGCATAGTGGGTGAGACTCCTCAGCTGCCGCTGACTCCCGAGGCGGTTAACGGGCCCGTGGTCGGCCTCAGCTGTGGCTGAAGGGAACGGCTGTTGTGCTTTTTTGCAGAGTTTATATTCCTTCTGTCTGAAAAATGGCACTTGGACCAACCGGCAAGGTACCAAGCGGTAGAGTTACTTGAAAGGTAATAAACATCCTGCAATGCTTGGGGTGTTCCTCGTGTTGCTCCCATGGTTGCGCCGCGCTCTGTGCCGCTCCATGCGTGCTGCGCCTTTTCTGTGTCTAGAGCTTTGTCTCTTTGCTCATTTAATTAAAACAAAGCACTATCCGTACATTCTGAGCACAGGCAGAATTGCTTTTCTTCCTCCTCCTTCACAGGAGAAAACTCTTTTCTGAGCAGTTGTGGGTTTTTGTAGGTTTATGATCAAGCAAGTAGAACAGCTCTCCAAGTCCTCCAGAGAGAACGCTAAAAGCCGTGAACAAGGACAAGGCAGCAGCCGGAGCTCTCTGAAAGACGAGATATACAACACGTTTGTCCTGCGACTTGTGTCGTGCGTTCAGCTTGTGAGCAAACTCTCCCTGCACTATAACGTAAGCCAGCTAAACCTCCTCCTCTGACAGTGTTTTACAAGTGCAGTCACTCACATAGTGTGTTAATCTCTTAAAAAATAATTTCCTCTCTGAAGGACGGTAGTGGTAATGAAACACACAGGATACTGAAGCGGAGAGCCAAATCTCTTCCGTTTAGGGCAGATAAATTGTCAGTCGCTGAGTAACAGTTTGCCAGGGAATGTTGCTGGTACTTGGGGAAAAAGTACAGGTGGTGGGAAAACCTGGCCTGTGGCTGTTGGAAATCCTGTGGCCACAGAAGGTTCCCAGCTGCCTGGGGAAGGCTTGTGGAAGGGAGGAAACCTGTGGGAAAGAATAGAGAAATCCTCAATGAGCTGGGGCAGTGGGCAGCATTGCCCCTGCAGCGGATCGCGCTTCAATCCGGCGGGAAGAGGAGAGAGCGAGTACTTTGTTCTTAGTGAGGCCTGATCACCTAGAAGATAATCTGTCTTCTTTTTCCTCCTCAGATAGTGAACAGCGACATAGCTCTACGGTTTCTGCAGTCCTTAAAATACTCGTACACTAAGCAGGAATTGCTGGAGTCGGAGCTTGCTGTTCTAAACACTCTGCACTTCGAGGTCAACGTGTCAACTCCTTTGGCTTACGTGGAATTGCTGCTGGAGGTCTTAGGTGAGAGAATGGGAAAGGATGTTTAAGAGTGTCGTAGAGCCCTTGCTGCTCTGAACCAGAATGTCTGGTGTTACAGGTTTTTGAGTACCATGAAGGCAGGTGAAACTTTCCAGGTTGTCCAGGGCTTTACTTTTCAGATGAGAACTTTGTCCTCAATAGATTCGAATGGATGTTGTTGGGCAGCCAGTTGTGACTCGGCCAGTAAAAGAGCTTAAAGCCCCCCTGACCTAACGTAAGGCCACGTTTTCTGCAGTGACATCGTTATCTTTGCCCAGGTCTGTGTTTCAGAATGAGCGGGATTATTCTGAGAGCCTGGAGCAGGCAGTTGTCACCAAAAATCATCATCACCCCCTGCTTACTAACGCTGCTTTCCGGTTCAGTGCAACAGCCCGATGTGCGGCCGCTTACGCCTGATCTCTCCGCTAGGACACAACGGCTGCCTGCTGCCTGCGGAACCGTTGCATCAGGTGTGCGTGCAACTGCTGGACTTCACCTACCTTACGAGAGATGCCGTCTACGACACTTTGTTGAGGATGGCCGTGGAGAACTCGACACCGAGCAAACTGCAGGTGTAAGTAGCATACACGACTGTTAAATAACTCTTTGAATTAAACCCCTAATAAAACCACAGCAGGTTTTTAGTAGCCTAATTCCCATTATGCCATTTTCTTGGTCACGTTCTCAACCATTTTAATTCTGGGGGCTTTTAGCCTTGTTTATTGGTCTTAATATACCAGCTGAAAGCAACGTGCTTCACTGCTTTTGCTCTCTGGGCGAGCTAGGAACGTATTTAACTCGAGCTTAAACCCAGCGTTAGTGCTGGCGATGGAGTTCACCGTACGGGCTTTATCGGATCAAGCGAGCCGGCGTGTCCGTAGGCCGCACGGCTGGTGCTTTTGATCTGTAGCACTCAGCTGTTCTACACCAGAAGATGCTTTTACTCCTGCAGAGCCAAGTTTTTGACGGTAAAGGAAGATTTCATGCTCCTGGCTGTTGGAGTCATCAGCACAAGTGTGTTCATACTCGAACCTGGGCGCTGGAATCAGGTACAGCTGCCTCCCAGCACATCGGCTCCGTACGGCACACACGGTGGCTATTTAGACTCCCCTGGGAGTAGCGTGGGGGAGGCGACGTCTCCCGGGTCAGGAAGCGTGTGTACCTGCGTTAGCAGGGTGTGGGGGGCAGTTCCTCACCCTCACAAACCCCCAGGGACATGGTTCCGCTGGCGGGAGGAGTGATCCCGTGGGACAGCGTTCTGCCCAAACTGCTACTGAGTCCTAAAACAAAGGTCGATTGCAGGTCGTAGCTTTGTCATTTCACTTTAGTGGAAGCCATTAAATTAAGAAAAGCACAAAGCAAACAGATAACCCAGAAAGTAAGCAAAGACCATGCTGAGAGGGTCCAGCTTCTGCCAAAACCCCAGTAGTGTGTGCCCGGTGACCCCTGTCTGCAAACCGATCTCTCGGGTGCTCCAACTGTCTTCATTCTCCTTTTTTTTAAGGTTGTGGAGCATCTAAACTGCATCACGGGCATCACTTCACGAAGCATCGTAGAATTTTCTTACGTGGTACTGAAACATGTCATCGGCAGCACCGCACCAGGCCAGCACGACGGTGGAACAGCTTCCGAGAACAGGGTGATGCTGTGAAGCATAGCGTCTCCTGCAGCCGGTCGCCAGCAGCCGGCAGCAAGCCCCCCTGCTGCTGCTCGGCCGTGCTCTGCGATCCTCACCCAGCGTGAGTGGGTTTTACCTTTGGTTTTGAACGCGGGGCGTTGGGCAGCGTTTCTGTGTTACGTGTTAGTTAGAAAAGCTCACGCTCCGTGGCAGCGCACGGGGGCTGTGAAGGGAGCAAGGCAGCATTTGGAACGGCACCGAGAGCTGTACTGTCAACGCTGTGTCCCCACGCACTGCTCCCGAGAGCTGCCTTTACAAAGGGCAGTAGCCTGCCCGTACAGCGCTCGGTCACCCATAAGCAGGAAGCAGCCTGCTCACCCCGTCGTTAGGAGCGGGGCTGTGCCTGCTTTCTCCACGGGCTGTGTTTAAAAAGCTAGTTGTGTCCCAGGCAGCCAGGCTGGTATCAGTGTTCCTTTCGCCTGTGCTCACCACCCAGGTGCCCCCCCCCCAAGGCAGCCAGACGGCCAGTGGCACGGAAAGGACTGAATCCTGCCTGAGGTGCGGCTTTCCTGCCATCAGGTGCCGAGCCAGCGCGCCCGTGCAGGGCCTTTGTGCTCTGCCTGGTGCCTACCAGAGCTCCCCGCGGGGCAGCGCGTTACAGATAACGCAGCACGCTCTGAGGACAGGCTGTGGGAAGCGTTACAGCCGGCTAACACCGTCGCCACCAACAGCGTTCCAAACGGCATTGAGCCTTGGCGCAGCGGGTGGCCCAAAGCGGTGCTGCTGCGGCTTAGAAAAGGCTTCGCTGCACACCAGCGGAGCTTCCGCGAGTGCTTCCCGCTGTTCCTGGGGTTTAATGCTTGGCTGTCCTCACCCGGCTGCCAGGCTGTACCCAACTCACTGGGGGTGTGAAGGACACCCGTCTGTCCCCCCCCCCAAAGCGTATTTTGGGCTGTGTGGTATGTACCCCCGTTCGTCCCCCCCCCCCCAAGCATCAGTTCGGCATCTCTTTAGTAGCTGTTGCCTTTATTCGTTTCGACTCTCCATCTTGCTGCTCTACGCCCCACGTGTCACATGGTACTTACATAACGTGTCTGGGGGATTTCTGGTACTGTAAACATTCTGTACTGCTCAGCCTCGGGGACGTCGGAACGCGCAGGCGCCGCAGCCGCCGGGGGCTTTACGTGGCTACTTTATAGAACTGGGATGAGACCCAGGCAAGGCCCCACTTCAGGTTAGTCAGCATGAATTTTAGCGCTTTTGTCCATTGCTCCTCAGAGTTGAATTGTGTTTTAATGGAGTAAGAGCCACCGCTGCCACCCGTGTCTTCAATCTTCCCTTTCTCCACATCCATCCTGCACCACACAGAGTTCCGTTAGAGCGTCCCTGCCGCAGCGTCATCGCCGCATGACGCGAGTACTAGAACGCAGGGCTGACAGTCGCGCTGTCCCCTGCGGGAATGCGTTGATTTAAGGGGCACCCAGCAAGGCTCAGGCCTTCCCCTCGGCACCCGGCTTTAGACCCCCGTTAACCAAGAGCAGACGCGCTAATCCTGCACGTGTGAGGAGCATGGGGGGGGTGGAATTTGGGACTGGGCTGGCCCAGCGCCGCGCAGGAGGGCACGCGAGGTGTTCGTGTGATGTCTTAGGGAGGAACACTCACCTGTAAGGCAAGCAAAACCGAGTTTCACCTTTTTCCACTTCCTCTTTGAACTGCTGCACGCAGTCCAGGAAAGCCACCATCGCGTGGTCAAACTTGTTGTCCCAGAAGAACCTCAGCCCTCCAGAACAGTACAAGGGGAGCTCCTGGGAAAGAAACGTTGTTTCAGGCCCCCGGGCACCCCGTTTTAGGTGTGCTCTGTCTCGTGCGAGGCTTAACTTTGTCGCAGGATGCTCTGAAACGGTTCGTGACCCACAAGAAGCCCGAGTTGTTTTGTGTAAGTGCCTGCTGGGCACAGGGCTGGGCTCCCAACTGCCAGCAATCCCCGAATCCCACGGGGTTCCTCTGGCCGGCTGCGGCTGCAGCCTGAGCCCTGCCACCTTAGCGCTACTGGGGGGCAGGAGGAGCAGCTCAACGGGGGACGTGGTGTGGGGGGATGTGACGTGGGAGAAGTCAGGGCAGCTGGCTCTCCTGCACCATCCAGAGCTCTTTGTTCTCCGTGTCCGCAGCCTGACCAGGGCTCTGTGGCGCTGTAGGTTCGTGCAGGATCTCTTACCTTCGATTTGTCCGTGAGGGACTCTAAATACGAGTGGTTGCCGTACGGCACGAGGCGGTATCTGCAAGGAGACAGGATGGACAGGCCGATGAGTCTGCATCCCGAGGTCTGTTGCGTTGCCTGTTGCGTCGCACATTGAGGCCCATTTTGTTGGCGAGGGCGTGCAGCAGCAGCACGGTCTGTCCCCAGGCAGCGTTGATCTCGTTCCATTCTACGGGAACGCTGGGGAGTCGGCCAAGCCTGAAGTTGTTTATCGTGCCGAACTGGCCGCTGTGCCTGCGATAAGAGGGATTATAAATAAGCGCTGGGGCAGGAAGGGCTTCGCGCACGCCAACCAAACAAGGGCCACGGAGCAGCGGGTACAGAACGTGCCCTGCTCACCGGGCAAAAGGCGGCTTTGGGGCTGTGCTTAAAGAGTGCGTGTAAATACAACCACTCGTTCTCTTTTGACAGCAGAGTTGGGTTAAAAAACACA